GTCGACAAAGCTCTTTGGTTTGGTGGTGCAAGGATTGATCTACTGGGATATGTAGATTCTGATCTTGCTGGTAGTAGAAGCATAACATGTTATATCTTCACTTTGGGAAAGATTACAGTCAGTTGGATTTCCAAGTTACAGAAGATTGTTGCGCTCTCAATCACGGAAGTGGTGTTCATTGCTATCACCGAGACTAGCATGGAGATGATTTGGCTGCAAGGTTTCTTGATAGAACTTGGCAAGAGGCAATGAATGGAAAGTTGCATAGTGACAACATGAGTGCTATACATTTAGCCAAGAATGCTGCATTCCATGCAGGACAAAGCACATGTAGCTTTAGTTTCATTTTATGAGGTCGCTTTTAGAAGATTTTCAGTTATCTTTGGAGCACACAAATGCAGACATACTGACGAAGACAGTGATAGTTGATAAATTGAAACTGTGTAGCTTTGGTTTTTCTTTGTGGAGGATGAGAGCTGGGGTGAGCCATCGTACATGTACTATAATTGATTGTGCAGATCAGAAGAAGGATTGGTTGCAGTTAGTTTCCAAGTGGGAGATTATTATGTGTGGAATCTGATTGTGTTGATCAATTGGGTTGTTTTGTTGCCTTGGACCTCAAGTTTGTCGTGCTTGTTGGGAGGGTGTTGTGGTTTACCCTCGACTGTGCACGTGATTGTTTTTCCATATAATGCCCCATGTTGTGTACCCGAGCACCCTGATACTGTGGTCCTGAGCGCCCCAGCACTAAACGATAGAGAACAAAGCATTGCAGTGGTATGAATACGACACTGCAACGGATCAAGACAGAGGTTCTAGCACCGTAGCGCTCCAAACTGGCGTCGCAACGCTGCAGATGGACTGGACAGTTTTCTTTCTCGTTTTTCTGAAGGGTTGCACCCCTTTGGTTTATTTTTCTTGGCTTTTTCTGGTATTTTTGTATGTGAAACATTGAAAATGGTGCATGTGAGAAGAGGAGGAGAAAGCGATAGAGAAGAGAGATATGTACTTATTTCTCCTAATTTTCATAGTGAATTTCGTGGTGTGGTGTGGCTCCGTTGTTTTTCCCCTATTTTGAATTTTTTCACGTTAAATCCTTGCGGCCTTTATTTTCTGCTGCTTTTACTTTCTTGTTGTTTCATTGTTGTGGTGTTTACTCGTTTTCATCCCCAACAAATTGTTTGACACTAACAGAGAAGCATAAAATTATGTTAAGTGTTTCAGAGATGAGGATGTTCAGGTGGATGAGTGGCTTTATACTTAGAGAAAGAATACGAAATGAGCATATACATGAAAAGGTTGGATTAGTTCTAGTGATAAATAAGATTAAAGAGAGTCATCTTAGATGATTTGGTCACATAAATGTCGGCCTTTCAATGACCCAATTAGGAGAGTAGATATATTAGATCCAACCTACATTAAGAAAGGTAGAGGTATATTGTTATACGGGTCCACTGGACTGGTCTAGCCGGTCCGCACGGGACCGGCAGTTCGCAATTGACGCGGGATCTCCGCCTCTTGCAGAGATCAGACGGCCCGACCGCTCAAGCATAGCGTTTTAGGAAGGATTTTTGGGGGGATTAAGAGAGAAATTTGAATGTAGGGACTGTTTAGAGATTTTCTTTTGATTTATATGCATTAAATACTTTGTTTTCCTAGGGTTAGGACATCTTGAATTTGGCTGAAATTTGAGATCTCTTAGATTTAGGTTCTTTGGGCTCTAGCGGCGTCTAGAGATTTGGGAGAGATCGATCCTCCTCTAGAATTGAGGATCAAGTGTATCTTGCTATTTTCCGTGTTCCTTTCATCAAATAATACAAATTATCTATTGTTTTTGTGATTTTGTGCGGATTTTTGTGAAGGATTCTCGCTGTTTTGAGAAGATTGATAGGAACTACTCGTGATCTACAAGTGTTTCCTATCAAATTGGTATTATAGCAAGTCTTGGGACCGTTCGTGGGTTGATTTTGGCGAAGTTCGGCGACCGATTTTTGGTTGGGGAGGGACGGAATTGCTGTTTTTGTAATCCAAATATGGAATTTTTGGATTTACAAAAGTTCGGATCGAGATGGTGGCCAAAAAAGTTGATGCGCTAGAAAAAAGGCTTTAAGGGGAGATGAACCAAGTCAAGGCAACGGTGGAGGAAAGGATTTCCTCCATGGAAGGACATGTAGCCGATCTCCGGGACATGATGAAGAAAATATTGGAAATCAACAACCAAAAGGCGGCTTCCGTGTCAAAAGGGGAGAAAGGAAAAAACACGAATTCTGAAATTCGTAGGGAAGAAGATGAGGTGGACATCATGGAGGGAGAAAGAGGAAAATCATATCTGGAGTCTTTCCAGAGGGAGGATAGAGGAGGTAGATGCGGGGAAAGGCATGGGTATGGAGAGACGGAGCAAAGGGGTGCTGATTGGGAACGTTGGGAGGGACATTATGGTTGTCGAGGTGCTGAGTTTGAAGGAAGAAGAGGGGAATTCGAAGGGGGGGTTGGGCTATGGCAGGGCAAGGGAAGACCGGGAGACGTGGGGTGGGCTGAGCACTGGGGAGAGGGGAAGCTATGGAGGAATAAGGGAGAATGGTGGAGATCAGAAGGTGAGGAAGTTGAATATGCCTATCTTCGAGGGAGAGGATGCGTATGGGTGTATCTATAAGGTGGAGAGGTACTTTACCGTTAATGCGCTAATAGAGGAGGATAAGCTGACAGCAGTAAGCCTATGTTTGGAGGGAAAGACACTGTCATGGTACCAGTGGAGAGACCTGAGAAGACCTATCAGGGACTGGAGGGAATTCAAGGACTGCATAATAGAATGTTTCCAAACTGACCGGGGAGGAGATTTCTATGAGCAGTTCTTTGTGGCATAGAAGGGATCAGTAGCAGACTACCGGGAGCAGTTTGAGCACCTAGCCAGTAGGGTGGAGCGATTATCAGATACGGTATTGGAGGGGAACTTCATGAAGGGGTTGAAGGCAAAGATCCGAGCAACAGTGAAGGTTTTGCTGCCTCGTGACTTAGGGGAGGCCATGAAGTTGGCCCAGCTGGTGGAAAATCAGAAGAATCTAGAGAAAGGAGCTAAAGAGCAACAACTCAAGAGGCTCTTACAGGACGATGACCACTCTTCTAGCACCCAAGGGGCCTGCATCAGACAACATTAATGAGACCACCAGGGAGAAGCCAGTAGGAGGAGGAAGTGGGGAAAATTTCAAGAGGCTGACAAAGAAGGAGATGCATGAGAGGAGGGCAAACGGGTTGTGTTTTAGATGTGAGGAGAACTATACGCCAGGACATCGGTGCAAGGACCAAACCTTTCAGGTTCTCACCATCTGTGATAATGAGGAAACTGAGGAGAGAGGTGAGGGGGAGTTAAAGGAAGAGAGGGAGGAGAAGTTGCATTTGGATATGGCCTAGGTTTCTCTGAATTCAGTAGTAGGGTTCACCTCGAATCATACGATGAAGGTGAAGAGGGAGATAGCAGGCATGGAGGTGGTTGTTTTGATTGACAGTAGGGCTACCCATAATTTCATTTCCACTAAGGTTGTCAATCAACTGGGAGTGAAATTGGTGGACACTGGTTGTTATGGGTTGATGATGGGTATAGGGAAGATGGAGAAAGGCCAGGGAATCGGAGTTGTGTTGACCATCCAGAGGATTCAAGTAATGGAGGACTTTCTCCCACTAGAGTTAGGAAGCACTAATGTCATCCTGGGGATGAAGTGGTTGCAAACCTTGGGGGAAACCAAGGACAATTGGGGAGCACTCATGATGGAATTAATTGTGGATGGGAGAAAGGTTGCTATAAGGGGAGATGCAGGGCTATCCAAAGCCATGACATCACTTAAGACCATGGTTAGGGACATACAAGAGGTGGGGGAAGATTATCTGGTGGGACTACAAAGGTTGGATGCGATCAAATTGGAGGAGGGAGGGGATGTTTCTCTTTCAGTGCAGCTCTTAGTTCAGCAATACAGTAAGGTTTTTCAGTCACCTCAAGGATGGCCACCTCCGCGGGAATACGAGCATATTACCACCTTGAGGACAAGGTGGATCTTTGGGATGAGAGTATTGTTAGATCGGTCCAGCCGGTCTGCACGGGACCGGCAGTTCGCAATTGACGCGGGATCTCCGCCTCCTGCGGAGATCGGGCGGCCCGACCGCCCAAGCAGAGTGTTTTAGGAAGGATTTTTTGGGGGATTAAGAGAGAAATTTGAATGTAGGGACTGTTTAGGGATTTCCTTTTGATTTGTATGCATTAAATACTTTGTTTTCCTAGGGTTAGGGCATCTTGAATTTGGCTGAAATTTGAGATCTCTTATATTTAGGTTTTCTTTAGGCTCTAGCGGCGTCTAGAGATTTGGGAGAGATCGATCCTCCTCTCGAATTGAGGATCAAGTGTATCTTGCTATTTTCCGTGTTCCTTTCATCAAATAATACAAATTATCTACTGTTTTTGTGATTTTGTGCGGATTTTTGTGAAAAATTCTCGTTGTTTTGAGAAGATTGATAGGAAATACTCGCGATTTACAAGTGTTTCCTATCATATATCTAAAAAGACTTGGTTAGAAAGTATTAGAAATTAAGTAAACAAATATGCATTTTTTTATTTTTTTATTTTTAAACAAAAAATGATCCTAAATGGGACATGAGAGTTGGGAAGATGACTGCACCTTGCAATATTGAGAATCAAAAGTTGAAAGCTGATTACGTGCAGAATCAAATTTTGATCATGGTAGCATAATCGTGATAATAAACATATTTTGTAGAGTCAAAGTAAATATGGAGTGTGGCTTATGCATAATCTTATTTTGTGCCTTGGTTAAAAATGGTTTATTACGTTAAAGCTTAACAGATATTTTGTATAATTTCCACATTTTCTTTCGTTACTTCCAATGTATATAGTTTAACTTCTTGATTATGCTGTTTTTCACGCTCTACATAATCTTTCCATGGCAGCTTCTTCTATATCTTTACTGATCCTTCTTTATATTGTTTGAATTGTGCAGTTATGCATTGGAATCCCATGCCATACATTTAAGTTTTGGGCTTTCATTGGGATATTGTTTCAGGTACATGTGCATTTGCTTTATATTCTGCATGTAATAGCCTTTGACAAAATGAACAAGTCAACGAAACCTATTAGGAAATGAGCACGCCGAGTATTTACACGACAGAAACGACAATCCTAGAGATAGTATGATAAAATATAATGTAATGGTAAAAAAGACCAAACAATGCAAAGAGAATCAAAATTTATGTGGTTTGAGTTAAATAAGACTGTCTATTGGAGAAGATAGAGGATTGGTCCACAAACAAAGAAATGACATTTGTGGTCTACATTAAGAAAGCCATCACAAACTAAGTCATAAGCTTCGTTTGGGGCGGCTTTTTTATTGCTTCTTAAAGCAGCTTTTTAGTAGAATAAATTTAATTTTTTTCTACTTAAAAGCTGCTTTAAGAAGCATTAAAAAGGTCATCCCAAACAAAACTTTAGTCAACATTTTGCTCACGATTGTGAAGCTTTATCTTCCATTTTATATTTAAAAAAAAAAAAAAATCTTCACAACAACCCCTCCCTGAAGCGAACTTTTATTTGGTCCGGTGAACGTACGTAGAGGAATGTCCGGTCGGCACTAAAATCCCACAAAAAAACTCGGTATTTGCTCGGTATTGCTAGGTATTATTTGGTAATAACGAGGAATACCATCATGTGAAGACCCAATACCGAGTTATACCGAGCAATACCGAGTTATACAAAAAAATACCGAGATAATCTCGATATTTTTTTTGTATAACTCGGTATAGCTCGGTATAACTCGGTATTGGGTTTTCACATGATGGTATTCCTCGTTATTGTTTGGTATTTTGCTCGGTATTTCTCGTCTTTTGGTGCAATTGTAGCTCCAACCGTACGTAGCTCTATGTCCGGTCGGAGGACGTAATAATTGTTCCGCTGAAGCAGGTAATATGGGGGGTATCCCTTTGCTTATTTCCTGACTCTTACTCTGCTTATTTTGCTTGCCAGGTTCCCTTGGGTATTTTGACACGGTATCTACAATATAAATTTAAGAGTTCTATGGTAAGCACTTTTTTAGCTTTACAGTACATTCTCTAATAATTGAAAATTCTTATATGATCATGATGAGGAACTAAACCAAAATTTTTCATCTGAAAATAATCTAATGGATATCCATCTTGTTTCTTACTTGTTCTTCTTTACAAACACGTCCTTCATATGCTACCTTTATATCCAGGTGGGAAATATGATCTTCTGGGTCTTCTTCTGCATCCTCGGTCAACCCATGTGCCTACTTCTGTACTACCATGATGTGATGAATAGAAAAGTGAGAACGGAGTAGTATGCTTTACAGCTACAACATACCACAGAAGGCAAGTTTTTTTCTTCCCTCGCTGCTTCATTTCAAGATCTTTGTATGCTCAATTCCTAGAAAACCATTTTCCTGGGCTTATGGGAAATCTAGTTTAATCAGATCATCACACAGGTCTTGTTGGAATGTATAAAAAGAAACAAAATTTCGATAATATGAATATAAGAAAAAAAATTTGTTGCATCACATTTTACCCACGATTCAGTAGCCATCCATTTTCTCCTTTTGTTTAATTACCTGTGGTTTTACTGATCACCCTATAATTAAACTGTAAATTTCTGTGCATTAAGAGGAAATGATGGAAATCCATTAATACCTGCATGAGATTAAGGCTTCGTTTGGGACGGCTTTCTTATTGCTTCTTAAAGCAACTTTCTAGTACAGAAATTAAAAATTTTTAACTAAAAATCTGCTTTGAAAAGCAATAAGAAAGCCGTCCCAAACGAAACCTAAGATTTCATTTGGGACGGCTTTCTTACTGCTTCTTAAAGCAGTTTTTAGTATAAACAATTTAATTTTTAAACTAAAAAGTTGTTTTAAGAAACAATAAAAAAGATGTCCCAAACAAAGGCTAAATGTTTTGATGGATTTGATATGCTGGAATGGCATCTAACGTTTCAAAATGTTGATGTAAAGTGGGCCGAAGCTTGTATTGCCTCTAGTTCCTGAGTATTCCTCACACAGGTAAAATTATTCTATGCGGATATGGATGGCGTTCAGAGATGAATCAAAATGCGTCATGTAACTTTTTTGCTGTGTATCGGGTGATGTTGCATGTTCTGATTTGCCTTCGAACGGTTTGGTGTCTGCAGAGAATAATTTCTCGCATGCAGGTCTACGGGTGTGTGAGGCCCATGGATGTGCGCACTTGCACTCAGGCCTACGGGCGTGCGCACATTTTTTTCTTCTTCTGCAAAATTTTGCCACTTCGCACTATTATGCCATTACTTACGATAGTTCACTTTATGTGTGACAATATTTTTAAATTTGAATTCAAAATGAATGTCAGAATAATATAATGTTACAGTTATTAAGCCATGTATGTGATTATTTTAAATTTGAATTCGGATTTATACTTTAATTATTTCATATTCGACTATTTTAATTTCAAGCTGATTAGCTAAGTACATATGATATATAATATTAATTTAAATTTATTTGCATAAATGTCAACTTCTTTAAGTACTGGAATTGGATCTTTGTAGTTTAATTGATATTTTAATTTAATTTTATTATTTTTATGCCTATAGTACTGTGTATAAAACATTAGCATTCATTAAAAAAAAAAAAAAGATTTAATAATGGTCTATGGTCCACTCGTCTACCATTTACTGTGCTTTCTATTTTTCTACCTTTGCTATGTAAATTCCAAGTAATAGTGCTCAATTCTATGTTAATTTTATTGAATCTTGGATCCACAATGCCATTTTTCATTCCCTTCAATTATAAAAATTTAAAATAAGGTAACCCACACTTATTTTGCAATGTTTCAATTATTATTATTATTATTATTATTATTTCCGAAGATCAATATTAGAGAGTCACATTAGATGATTTGGTCATATAAAATGGAGGTCTTTTGATGGAGAAATTATTTTATGCGGACATCGGATGTAGTTCTATGTCCGGAGGTGAATCAGAGCGTGTCACATCACCCGGTACACAATGGGTACACAGCCACGGTACATAGCAAGGAGGTGATGTGGCATGCTCTGATTCGCCTCCGAACGGCATTCGGTGTACGTGTAGAATAATTGATCCTTATGATGATCCGATTAGGAGCGTAGATATATTAGATTTGGTTTATGGTCAGAAAGGTAAAAGACTTGGTTAGAAAATATTAGAAATGTCATTTCTTTATTAGAATTTAAATGAGAATTTGACCTTTTACATGACATAATGGAGAAAAAGAATTCATGTAACTGACCTCATGTAGTGAGATAAAGATTTATTGTTGATTATTTATTAAACCAGAATTCAATATCTCTATGTATTCTATGATTCTTTTTGGAAAATTTTAATAGTATTTTATTTTGGCTTCTAGTTCCTTATTTGTCAACTATTATAATGCATTTCCTCTTTTAACCTATTACCTTATTAAAATATTACACGTACAGTAATGATTTTCATTATATTTGCATAATATTAATGTGTTCTAATTATCAGATGGTCAAATCCAATCAGTTTACATATTAAAAAGTATAAATGATTGATATAAGGTTCAGGATAATATAATTAAATTTCAGCAAACTACTACATTTTTAAATTCTTAATTCAAAAAATTAGGTTTTTATAACATTAACTAATGAAAAAATAGAAAATATCATTGACTTAACACGAGAAAAAAAAATTGAATTTGAATTTTAATTAATTTTTATTATCTATCTCATTAAGGCTTCGTTTGGGACGTTTTTGTTATTGCTTCTTAAAGCAGCTTTACTAGAAAGCTGCTTTAAGAAGAAATAAGAAAGTTGTTCCAAAAGAAGTCTAAATTTTTGAAAGAGGCATCCTTTCACATAAAATATAGAAATATTTTAGTTGTACTATTCATACTATTCATTCAAAGTTTAAATTAATTAATTCTTCTTTTTCATAAGGATGTGAAAGTAGTTTTTTATTATTTTTATTATTTTTGAATATTTTGTTGTTTGTATTTGTATTATATGAATTTGATAACTAAATCAATCATATGTAAAATATTATATGCAACCCTTCAAAGCCACCAAAGTCCAAGACATATTTTCTTTTAAAATAATTTATTTTCTTTTTCTATCCTTGTCTTACTACTCATCTTTCTTGTCCAAGCATTCTCTTGTCTTCTTGCATCTCTTCTCCTATTTTACTTCATTTATTTTTTCGAGAAACCCAATTTTAAAGTAGCCAAACAAAACTTTCAAAGAACCATATGGACCAACAACCCTCCCTCATTGTCTTCTCTTATCTTCTCATATCTTAGCATATCCTATTCCTAAGATTATATCAAAATATTTATATCTTTGATGCTCATGCTTAGGCTACTTGGCTCAAGATTTTATCCATTTCCAAATATTACATACATACCGTTTTATTTCATGTTATTTACATATCTAACACTCAAAATATTAATATTACATGTCTACCACCCATAGAACAAGTATAACTACATGGAATGTGCGGTAGACATGTAATATTAATGTTTTGAGTGTTAGATATGTAAATAGTATGAAATAAAGTTGTATGTATGTAAATAGCCCTTACTTCTTTCATAATTTGCTTATCTTAATTAAAAAACCACAGCGTCATTTTCTCATTTCGAAATCAAATTATATGATACATCATTAAATAGAACAACTCAAACCCTAAACCAACAAACAAACCCTAGAATAGTTCAAGCAATGAGCCATGCATGAATTGATAAGTCACAATAGAAAGTAAGAAACATAGAAGTTGAATATTATTGCTTAATTTGATTCATTAATCTCTCTTTATAGAGAAATTATTTGGTGTTTGCTCTATGTGTGAAATATAGAAGTTCACTTTAGTTGTCGCTAAAGTATCTATTTTATTCTGTATTATTAATAATAAACGTGTCAGACCGCTCTTTCTTCTCAATAACGAACCGTTAGTCTCTCTCTTCTTTTCATTCTAAATTTAGGTTTTGTTTGGAATGTCTTTATTACTATTTCTTAAAGCAGCTTTCTTATAAAAAAAATTTAATTTTTATGCTAAAAAGCTGCTTTAAGAAGTAGTTAGAAAATGGTCCCAAACGAAGTCTTAGACTGAAAACGATTATAAATATCTATTTAATTTTTCTATCGTATATTACTAAGATCCACATAGCTTATCATGGATAAATGTTTATTATTCATTTTTAGTTTTTTAAAAATCTCAAATATAATAATAAAAACAATTATTTAGTTATCAATAATGAAATATCGTTCAGATGCTGTCGGCACAGACTCTTTCACCTAATTATCACCTCGAATAGATTTATTCTCAATAAATTTAGCCATAATAAATTTATATTACTAATTTAATTTTATAAATTTAAGTAAATAATATTAATCTCAAAACTCATTGTAATAAAATTTTAATCAATCCTAATTTTCTCCAAATATTCAACAGACGCCGTAATTTTTTTTCTTAAGATAAATTAATTTTGACTTATTATGTAGGACAGAATGTATGGTTAAATAATAGGACAGACAATCCAATCCATTGGATTGAATATTTATTAATATTCACTTTCTAACCAATATTTAACTAATGAAGCTAGGGGTTCAAGCCAGCAAAGATGGCTCGTGAGCCATCTCAAACTCGGCTCCGCCCTGCATCAAGCTTCAGAAACTGGGTTAGCTGGTCGGGTCGGATCAACTCGATAACCCGCACAGGTTAGGTCCGGTTGGAATTCCTCATCCGTTTGCAAAACCCGATCGGATTAGCGTCAACCCGTTTGGACCCGTGTCTATTTGGGTTGGACCCGAACACGACCTGTTGACTTGTTTTGACACCCATAAACTTTACTCGATAATGAGCTTGAGAGTCAGGCTTATCGAGTCACGAGTTCGAGTTTAAGATTAAGCTTGAGCTCAAGCTTTGCTTAGTCTGTTGAGCTGACTTGATTAATATTAACTAATATATCTTTGTTTGTATTAGCCAAATTAATTATTTTTTATCCATATTCAAAATAAGAAATCAAGTTTCAAAATGGGTCAATATTGAACATTCTTATTGAGCTCGAGTCTCACATTTTTCGCTTGAGCCATGCTCAAGTTCGAGCTCATTATAAATTAAAATGAGCCCGACTCAGTTAAGAAAGAACTTGCCTCATTTAAAAAAAAGTATTCACATAATTTTCAATTGTTTGTAATTTTTTTTTTCTCTTTTTTGAATACTTTATAAATGTTTGGCTATATTAGGTAGTTTCTTTTTTTTTTGGAGGATTTTAATTGGGTCAAAAATCAATTTGGATTCATGCATGCCGGATAGGTCGACTATGGAAGCCATATATTTATTAAGAGGTTTGATGGAGAAATATAGAGAAAATAAGGAGGATCTATATATGATATTTATTGATTTAGAAAAAACATATGATAAAGTTCCAAGAGAAGTGCTATGGAGAGTTCTTGAAAAGAAAGGAGTCAATAATGCTTATATTCAAATCATTAAAGATATGTATGCAGGAGCTATTACTTGTGTTCAAACACAAGGTTGATTGACCAAGTATTTCCCTATTTCGGTTGGGTTACATCAAGGATCAGCCTTAAGCCCATATCTTTTTGCTTTAGTCATGGATGTTCTCACTAGACATTTGCAAGAGGATGTACCTTGGTGTTTGCATTTTGCTGATGATATTCTTCTTATTGATAAGACTAGAGAGGGAGTTGAAGGTAAACTTGAATTATGGAGGTCAACCTTAGAGTCTAAAGGTTTTCATTTGAGTAGATCTAAAACGGAATATATGAAGTGTAATTTTAGTAGTAATAGACCTAGTGAGGAGATTGTGACTTTGGGTGATCAAGTCATTAATAAGAGTACAAGTTTTAGATATCTTGGATCTATTGTTCAGAGTGATGGTGAAATAGATGGGGATAGTATCCTCACTTACACCCCTAAGTGAGGTCTGCAATGCTTTATGGTGCCGAATGTTGGCCATTAAAAGAGAAGCATAATGCTAAGTTAAGTGTGGCAGAGATGAGGATGTTCAAGCGGATGAGTGGCTTTACCCTTAGAGATAGGATACGAAATGAGCATATACGTGAAAAGGTTGGAGTAGCTCCAGTGGAAGATAAGATTAGAGAGAGTCAGCTTAGATGGTTTGGTCACATAAAACGACGGCCTTCCGATGACCCGGTTAGGAGAGTAGAGGTATTAAATTTGACTTATGTTAAGAAAGGTAGGGGTAGACCTAAAAAAACTTGAATAAAAAATATTAGGAATGACCTTTCTTTATTAGATTTAAAAGAGAATTTGACTTTTAATAGGACACAATGGAGAAAAAGGATTCATGTAGCCGACCCCACGTAGTGGGATAAAGGCTTAATGTTGTTGTGGAGGATTTTAATTGGGAGTAGTGTTATTTTTATGTTTAACTCATTAAGGGTGAAAATAAAATTCAAG